TGTTAAAAAAGATATTACTTTTAAAAGAATTATGAATTACATAAAAACTATATACATATAGCTAATAAAAAAAAAATTACATATTTATAAAAAAATATTTTTTTCTTCTATACAGAGATTTTCTCTTTTTTGCATAAAAATTTAAATTTTACCTCTCTTCCATAAAATATGAATTCATCATGGCGTCCATATTGAAAATATTTTTTCCCGCCTAAAATAATTTTAGCAATCAGTTATTTTTTTGTGTCGAAAAAGTTAAATCTTTAAGATAAATATATAAAATGTAAGATAATAAGACTAAATTAATCATATTAAAATAAAACTAATAACTTAAATCTTATTTTAGAACTCATAATACGAGTAATACGAGTAATTTTAATAGTCAAATATCAAATTGGTCAAAAAAAAAAAAAATAAATTACTCTTTAAAAAATTTTTAATTATTTTAATATTTAATAAATATTACATTGAACAAACTCATTATATTAATGAAATATTAATATAAAAAATAAAAAAATAATTGTTAAATAAAATAGATTGGTTACGCACCTGAAACAAAGCGTTTAATTTTCACAAGCTTCGACAACGGAATGACATCTCGCATAGCGATTTCGATGTATTGAATTACAAATTGGAGAGGGGATATGCTTACATTTCGACAAACAATTCGACAAATCGAAATGTCGAGCGTCGTACAAAAACAAATCATCGATTTCCTGGAAAGAGATTATAAGAAATACGTTCAGCCTTCGGCCTTTGAGCGTAAAATAAAAACAAATACAGAAATAACGTTATACGTTAACGTAATAAACATAATAGATACATTGAAGAAAGAAATATGTATAAATTGATCTAACTATTCTGATGAATAAAGAGAAAAAAAAATTTATAACTATTTTTTTGTTAAAATAAAATAAAATCTTACCACATTTATACGAAAATCATCGGATTATTTTGAATCATCATGTTGTAAAAACTGTACTACGTAGAAACTGTTATTTTCAAAACTTTTCCCGCCTTTGAAACTATCCCAACTTTAATCAAATGATAATTTGTCACAAAAATGATCAAATCTGGTATAATAATGATTAAACAGACACATATTAATTACACAAGGCTTAATAATTTATAATTAAGCTTAATAACTGTAATACAACATTTTATTATTAAAAATTTTATATAATTACGCACTTCTATCGTTGAAACACAGCCTGTCACTATAATTTTCAACTGTAACTAATGCTATGCGCACTAAAGTGCGTACTATGATGCGCATAATCATGCGCATAGATTCGTTTCGCCGCTACATTTTAATGGTTTCCGATTGGTTATAAATTTCTCTATTCACATTAGCACACAAAAATTGAAATATTATATAATATATATTATATTTTAATTGTTTAATTGTTATATATTTATATTGTTTAATTTAAATATAATTTATGTTGATTTTTGTCTTATATTATATTCTTTTTAGATTTGATCAATTTTTATTTTAAATATTTAGTCTTATGTTTTAGATAATTTTTCTTTTAATTTAAATAATTTTTATATTAAATTAATTATAACAATGTTTTCTTCTTATATTTTTATGTAATTATCATATCTTTGTAAAATTTCATTATAGAAATCTAATAATATTAGATTTAACAATTTTTTTAATTTATATTTTCAGATATATTTTATTATTTATCAAATTAAAGTCACCATTAAAATCTAATCACGATTCTTATTAACACGATTACTTATTAATTTGATTCATTTTTGTTTTCTTCAAAAGGAGAAATATTTTTAAAAATAAAATAAAAACAAAAATTAATTAAAATTATATTGAAATTTAAATTTTATAACTTAATTAATATTAATTAAATAAATATAAATTAGTTCTTTTTTAAATTATTAGAACAATTAATGTTATACATTTATATTGTTTTTATATTTTTTTAGTTTTTATATTTTTATTACATTATTTGATAATAAATGACATATTAAAGATTATTTAGAAGACTATTTCTTGACAAACTATCTTTAAATTGTTAAAATCGTTTTTTCCTAAATGTTTTACTGTTATGTTATGTTTAACTATTTATTCATAAAAAAATTAAATACATAATGAAAAATTTGCCAAGAAGTTTGATACTTTTATTAAATTTATAATATTCATATTTTTCGAAATATTTACATGTTTCCAGATAAACTGTACACATTGTATATAAATTATATTATCAAAATTATTAAATTCCTTAATTGCATAGATGAAAAAACCATTTCAAATATTCAATTTCAATTTTTTAAATAATAATCCTAATAATTTTGCAACTTCTAAATTTTTATTCTTTATTTATGCGTCTAACAATTTATTAAAATATAAATGTAATGATTAAATTAAATTATGAATAAAATGAATTATGAATTAAATTGTGAAAAAAATATATGCATATATAAAAAATATACATATATATACATATATATAATATAATCGATATTTTATTTTGTCTTTTTTTTAAATGAATATATAAAAAAAAATATTAATATTAAATTATTGATCTGCAATAACATGCTCTGGAATTACTTTTGCTACTTTTCTGAACTCTTTTCGTAATGTTTTAGGACATTGCATTTGTGTCCAATTAATGGGTATCATAGCTACACCTGTAACATAAGAATTATCAATTATTAATAAAAAAAATAATATTATCTTTAATAATTTACCTTCTTCACTATGTGCTATCACTACACCTAGTTCATTTTCTGCTGTACTTAATTGATAAGTATGTCCTTCTGTCATTGGCATCTAACGAATGTATAGGAAATTACATAATTCAAAATTTATATTTTTACTAATATATTTTAATAACATATTTTTTTATAATAAAAAAAAATGAAGGATACAACTCTAGCAAGAATAATATCTCCAGGTCTGAAGCACTTGTACATTTGAATATTATCTTTATCTATTGCTCGTACATCTTCTTTCCTTAAAATACCTCTATAAGGTCTTGTCAATACGATATCACCTATACATTTTATACTACATTTACAAAATCTCTGATTAACAATAGTAACCATAGCTGTTACAATATCACCAGGTGCAGGAACAATACTTTGTTCTGTTATTCCATGGACTTCAACAGTTCGAGTCTAAAATTCAAAATATATTGTATAATTCATATATATGATATTAATAATGTTAAATAATATATTTTATTTATTTCTTCTTCCTTACATTTTCTTTTTCTACTAATTTTACTAAACCAGCTAATTTCGAATAAATATAGCCTTGTTGTTCATAAGTTCCTGGTCCAGCAATATTAACTTTGTCAGAAATACATAACCTTTGTCCTACAAAAAAATATGATTTTTTTCTAATTACTCTGTTTACTTTTTTTTATTTTAAAAATATAATTACCTGGTACACATACAATAATATCTTTATTTTTGTCCATATTCTTTTAGAATTAAAAAAAAATTTACTTTTTATATATAAATTGTCATTAAGGCAATGAATAATTGCATGTCAAAAATTTGGAGGTTATAGACAAGGTACAAGTTTATTGTATCTTTTTAAAATACAATAAATTATATTAAATTATATATTAAATTAATAAATATTGCAAAAAAGTAAAAAATTCAAAAAAATCGAAATATAAAAATTAAAGAAAATAAAAATAATAAATTACACATAAAATTAATAAATTTAATGAATTATAAATTTATAAATTATTAAACTAATAAAAATTAATTGATTATCTTGAGAATATTAAAATTATTTATATATTTTTAATAAAAATAATCATTTCTAGTTTATCGGCAAAATTTTATACGATCGATACAATATACATAATCTTATCGACATAATCTTTTAATATCAAAAACATATTTCCAGATTACAATCAAAAGATGGTACTAATTGTCAATTCTTATCTTATATCTATTCTTTTTTTATTATTCTCCTTATCTAAATTTGTTTATGATATGTAACAACATGGAATATTAATTGAATATATTTTAATGATTTGTTTTTCAGAAAACTATAATGTATTTCAATCTTTAATTTAAATACAATTTTAAATAAATAAAAAATATTTATATTATATTCTCGTTTTTATAATATATTTTTAAGATCTTGTGAAACATGATGTAAAAATATATATAATATAATTGTTTTTGATAATATGCTAGCTACTAGTAAGTAATATTTAAACAAATAAAAAATAGTAAAGAAAATAGAAAAGAATTTTTAGGCATTCTTTGAAAGCATTAAAAATCGAATTATTTAAGATTAATTTATTAAATTTATTCTTTCAATTGTAAAACATCGAACAAATTTCTTAATTGTTCAGTTATTAACTATTATTGAATTATTAATGTTGCAATTTTTTATTCTGAATCAATAACGTTAAGAATAATAGTAAAATCTTAGAAGGATCTTAATACTCTTGAGATATGAGACAAAAAATGCATTGAATTAAGTTTATTCTATATCGCTTGTGTTATATTATTATATTCTACAAAAAGAAACTTGTTTTGCTGAATTGGAAGACTGAATTATTTTTTAAATATATTAAAAGTTTAAAAAAAAAAATGATCATGAATATTTAATGCTCGTATGCATTAACATTTGTTGTTTATTTTATAATATAAATTCTAATTTTTTTATATTCATATTTAATAATCTTACAATTTTTCAATTTTAATATTTATTTTTAATTTAATTTATGACATTATTCATTTAATTTCAAATTTATATTTAAATTTAATTTGATATTTAACATTTAAAAATTTTTTAAATCTTGAATTATTTTTTCTTCAATCTTCAAAATTTTGATATAATAATAGTTTATTATAATCACATAATATTCACATATATATTCAATTAATAAATAGAAATGTGTTTATTTTTTAATACATTATATTAATTTCGTAAAATTTCTAAAAGATATTTATCGACAGGATAACAAATAATCATAAATGTTGCTATATTATACTATTGAAACGCCATCTATGTGAAGAATAAATTTCATGATATGGTATCGACACAAAGGTACTTACAATGTATGTAGTATATTCTACGATGGTCTTTATATACATATATATCTAAGGGAATTGTATCGAGTAAGTACTTCGCAGTACTTACACATCGTTTGGTGTCGCGTCATTATATTCGAAAAAATGGAAAATGTAGGAAAGATCATAATAGTATGGGGCAGAAAAAAAATCGAAATTCCGGATGTGAATCTGGACGATACCGTTCGCGGTTTGAAAATACGAATACACAAGGAAACTGGCATTCTTCCAAAACATCAAAAACTTTTAAACCTTCGAACCAAAGGTTATGTTTTGAACTGTTTCATGACCTTTTCTCCTTTTATTTTTCCCCATATAATCATATGTTAATATTATAATGATACATTGTTAATATTAAAATAAAATTCATTTAAATGATTTCTATTTTGATTTCAAACTATCCTTCTGTTCTATTAGATTTCACATGTTTGAAACCATTTAAAAGTCCGTCAAGTGTCTGTTTACCAAATAAAACATCTCAAGATGAGGAAATCTTAAGGAACTTGGGCATGAAATCTGGGTTCAAAATAAGGCTGATGGGATCTCGTGAAGAGGATATTGCTAAAGTATGTCATGCTCCAAAAGACTTACCTGATGTAATTAATGACTTTCAGACTGAAGAGGAAAAGTTGGATATAGAGAATGTTAAGATGTGTTTATTTCAAATTCAATTTAGAATCGACTACTACAGGTTTGTAGAATTAAATCCATTCAGAGAAGGAAAGAAACTACTGGTGCTCGATATAGATTACACCATTTTTGATCACAATTCAGCAATGGTTCTGCAAGGTGGTGGTGGGGAATTAATGCGTCCCTTTCTTCATTATTTTTTAATTATGGCTTATCAAAATTATGATATAGTAATTTGGTCAGCAACTAATATGGAATGGATCAATAAAAAGATGAAAGTGCTTGGAGTTTCAAATAATCCTTATTATAAGATAGCATGTCATCTTGATGCAAATTTTATGATTAATGTTCAAACATCAAAATATGGTACTATCACAGCAAAACCACTTGCTGTTATTTGGGGAAAGTATAAACAATTTTCTGCAAAAAACACAATAATGTTTGATGATAATAGAAGAAACTTTATCATGAATCCACAATCAGGATTAAAGATAAAACCATTTAGGCATGCATATATTACTAGAAGGAAAGACAGGGAATTGTTAAAATTATCTCAATATTTAACACTGATAGCAAAAGTGGATGACTTTCAGACTCTTAATCATAGGAAATGGCAAGAATATATAATTGACAAAACCAAAGAAGAAAAAAGAAATATGGAAGAAAATGAAGGAAGGAACGAGTAAATCTTTTTTTTTTGTTTTTGAGAATGTTAAATGTTCGTTAAATTTTATGAATTTTTTTTATTACTCAAGAGGATACATTTTAAGTAAATCTATCGAATTTTGTGAATTTATCGGCAATTATTTAAATTTATTCGGAAGAAAAAACTTGTATAGAAAGGATATCTTTTAAATATTCTTCCATGAACTATATACGACGATATTAATAATAATAACGTTTAATCGTTATGCGCATATTTTCACACGCTTCTTTGTATTTATAATGTACTTATCAGTTATTGTGAGACATATATAAAATGTAATCATTGATTACATAAATAAATCTTGTGTATTTCAAATAATGATATGCTTATTATTTTTTTTCTTTTTTTTTTTTTTTATTATAATATAAAAATATTACAAAAAAATTTAAATAAAATATTAATACTTTATAAAATTTATAAAGTGTATTTGAAAAATACAAAATCACTTTAATGCTATTAATTATAAATTATAATGTAACAAATTTTATAAGCTTGAATCATTAATTTTTGTCATTTAAAGATTTAAAAATATATTATATGTTATTAATTCTCTATCCGATCGCCATCTATTTTTTGTCACTCTAAAATGTAATGTAGTATTATGTATATTGTATATTATACGAACCCGTTGTTAGTCTTATATACGAGCAAGATGGCGAAGTGCCTATCATAGGCAGATTTTCGGAGGTTGACGTTCCACATGCTGCGTAAAAACTATTATACAGTGGAAAAGACGGAAGCATGGAATTGTTCCGTACCGATACGCATTTCATTTTCGTAAAAGAAAGACATAGTCTATGGTGTGACAAGTACACGGGAGAGTTTTCCGCTAAATCGGGTGGGTACACAGTTCTAATTTGACAGAAGTGTATATACATTCGTGTCAAGTACGATACACATTGTAATTTTCGTTTCATTATTCTTTTTAAAACATCTTCAATTTTTCAAATTTTGTAACATAATCAAAAAAATTTCACGTAATCTTAATTACTCATACAATTTTAATTTATAAATTTTCAATTTTGTAATAATATTCATGATAAAATCAAAAATGTTAAATTAAATCGTAATTAAATTATCATTATTAACATAATAGAAAATATGGATATATCTTAAATGAATGTTTGCACATGATTTTGCAATAGCTACAGTTTATAAATTATGTAAAGATGTGACATGTGGTCTAAGTAATACAATTAAATAGAACACAAAGTTATATTGGATTAAAATTTTTTTATATTAATATTTTAATAAAATTTTATTACTTACAATTTTTTTGTAGATTGGGAATGGGCCTCTCCAAAAGATTTAGAATGTCTTGGAATATTATATGGAATTGTTGGGAAAATAGAACAACCATGTGTATTAGAACCACGTTTAATGCTAATTAAGGAAGTTTTACCAGCTGGAGAATTATATGGAGGTCATATTATATATAAAATTAAATCAATTGCATTTTTGCATTTTGGCAGTGAAAATAATGATATTGGACTTTTGCCATGCAAAAAGCATCAGAATTTGCCAAAGAAAAAAAGCCAAGGTGGCCTATTTGATGTGCCGCAAAAAGCAACATTTGCCAAAACATGGGGAACTATTAAAAGTGCTACAAACACTATAAAAAATACTACTCAACAGGCAGCTGCACTTGCAACATCCCAGGTAAATTATCTTTATTTAATTAGAAATAAAAATTTTAATTATATAAAAAATTATATATTGATAAAAATATCTATAGGTGAAATCTACAGTGAGTAAGAGAAACATTGTTAAAGATAAGGAGAGATTTGAAAAAAGAATCTTAGAAGAATTAAATAAAATTTTCACCGAAACTGATTCCTTTTATTTCTGTCAAACTGGTGATATCACAAATAGTCTGCAAAGGCTTTGTGCCACAGAATCACAATATAATAAAGAAGAACAAAATAAACAACTTTGGCAAAAAGTGGATGATAGATTTTTTTGGAATAAACATATGTTGCAAGATATAATTAATTTGAAAGTTAGTTTTTTTTTTAAATTTAAATTTATTTTTATTATATAGATTATATATATAGATATTTATTGAAAAAAATATTTAATTTTTGTAGACAGACAAAGCAACTTGGTGGATATTACCAATTATTCAAGGATATGTACAAATAGAAAAATGCAAAGTAGAAATGGGCATTGATGAACAACCTCATCATGAAATTTTTAATTTAGCAATTATATCAAGAAGAAGTAGATTTCGTGCAGGAACGAGGTAACAATTTTTTTTTTTATTCCATATATTATTTTAAATTTAATTTATTTAAAAAAATTAATTTTTTTATCATGATAAAGATATAAACGACGCGGTGTCGATGATGAGGGCAAATGTGCAAACTATGTAGAAACAGAGCAATTAGTTTGGTATCATGATCATCAAGTATCTTTTGTTCAAGTACGAGGCAGTGTACCAGTATATTGGTCCCAACCTGGTTATAAATACAAACCTCCACCTCATATAGACAGAGGTAATTAAAAAAATATTTTATTTATATTTCAATAATTTATAATTTATAATTTTTTAGATGAAGCAGAAACACAGCTTGCATTTGAAAAACATTTTACTGAAGAGCTTGGTTTGTATGGTCCAGTTTGTATTGTGAATCTCGTAGAGCAAACAGGCAAGGAGAAAATAATTTGGGAAGCTTATAGTAATCATGTATTAAATTACAATAATCCTGATATAACTTATACAACATTCGATTTTCACGAATATTGGTAAGCAATTGTAAAGAAACTAATGGAATTTTTGGAATTGTCGCTAAATGTTTTTTTGTACCTAACACAGTCGAGGAATGCATTTTGAAAATGTATCTATTCTGGTCAATGAATTGGCTACAGTATTGACAGACATGGGGTATTGTTGGCGCGATAAACAAGGCACAATTTGCATGCAGAAGGGAGTGTTTCGGGTGAATTGCATAGATTGTTTAGATAGAACAAACGTGGTGCAAACTGCTTTGGGTAAAGCTGTTATGGAAATGCAGTTTTCAAAGCTAGGATTAATACCACCGGACGGAACATTACCGACGAATATTAGACAAACGTTTCAATTGCTTTGGGCAAATAACGGCGATATTATCAGTAAACAGTATGCTGGTACAAATGCTCTGAAGGTTCGTACCAATGATAGAAATATATGATTTTTTAATATTTTAATAATTATTAATTAGAAACAAAAGCTCAATCAAAAAGATTGCAGAATTTCTATGATTGTAGTTTCTTTTATTGCTTATAGGGAGATTATACAAGAACAGGAGAAAGAAAATTTACCGGGTTAATGAAAGATGGCGTAAATTCTGCGAACAGGTATAATTGGATCACAATTATAACACACAATTCGCATTATAGTAGAACACCATATTCATTCACATATCCTACACAATATATCATTTTACGATTATTTTTTATTGTTCAAAATATTTCGCAAATATATAATCTATTAGGTATTGTAATTCTCTTAAAAAAAATAAATCATTATATTATATTATTCGTATAATCATTAGATATCAATAACATTTAATTTTTTTTTTTTTTTTTTGAGTCATGATCATTAATTAAATACTATCATATATTATACATACATAGATCCTTGACACTATCCTTTCATTTTTCAATAGATATTTTCAGCAACACTTTATGGATGATATACGTCAAGCAGCGATAGATACTTTGCTAGGAAATCCCATCGATGTTAATCAACTGAATACCGATTGGTCGCATTATTTAGACATCCTTGATAATTGTTGTCTTGAGTTAATACCCGCGAAACCACCAAATATAGAGCTTCAACTTGCCACCTATTCTGACTTTCTTTATGCCAGTGCTATGTATGATTTGGCAAGGTTCGTTCTCAGCTTTGGGTTGAATGTTTTTCAATCGAGCAAATAAATAAAATATGTATTAAAACTTCAAACCAATTGTTGCTTTATCCAAACAACGAATAATGACAATTATATTAAAACTATACTTCACATATTATAATCAGTTTGATATTGCATTTTTTGCTCGTTTTTGTTTGCATGATAATTGCTTGATTTTTAATTTAATCTAAACAAATATTAATTTGAAGAGAAAGAAGAAAACTATCTCTGAAGAAAACTATCCTGACTCCTTCAAGACAGTATTTTTTATCGTCATTTTTTTTATTTCATATTTTTTTTTATTTTATTTTTAATTATAGTCTTGACGGAAACAGTTAGGAGACCTATATATTTTCAGATACTATTTAAATCGCTTCAAGGATGTCTATAGACAAGCCACGATCGATATGATGTTAGGAAATATTGTAAACGAAGAAGTATTTCAAGAGCGTACCGAAGAAGAAGACAATGCCGCTACAGCAATTCACGTGAAATTACTAATAGAAGATTGCAAGAAATTACTTATACCCGATCCAGAAGTTATTTTAGGCAGTTGGGGTCTTATAGATGCCGATCCTGTGTATGTTAGAAATTCATTTTTTTATTTTTTTAAATTTATAATATTTAAATTTATTTTTAATATTATTTTTTTTTTATATAATTTATTTTAACAGGACTGGTGACTTAACAGAGACAGAAATGGACACCATTCTAATATTAACACGCGATAGTTATTATGTAGCTGATTATGATGATCAAATCGACAAAGTCACAAATTACCAAAGAGTTCCACTTGAAGATATTGTATTAATTGAATTTGGCCAGCCCGAAAGCTCGGTTTCTCTTTTTAAAAATAAACATTTCCATTGCATTAGAATAAATTATAAAATGGCGAACGAATACGGTTATTTTCATATGTTCCGGAGTACAAATTTACGATTTTTTAATAATATGGCTGTTGTTATAAAGACAGAAGAAGAAAGTATAGGTAGAACAAGATTTATTATGCTCTAATATATAATTTCAATTATACTATGTTGATTTACATATTTCAGAGTCTTTAAAATCAATTTGCGAAGCTATCTCTGTAGCAATGGATATAAGCAATTTACCAAAGATTCCTATAGCAATGAATGTTACGTTAGATAGACGAAAGAGTAAATTAGTGAATAGTAAAGGAACTACGGGTCTACTTGATATCTCGTCATTTCCAGAATTAACCAGAAATGTCTCAGAAACACAATTATTAGCTCTTAAAAGCGCAGGTACGTTTTATAAAAAAAATTGTTTTTCCATAATAAATATAAGAATTTTGATAATATGCACATATTTATAAAATCTACATCAATAACTTTCAAATTATTCTATCGTTACAGGAACGAAAGCTTTAAATAACATGTCTGAACAATTTAGCAAATTAAATAAGTT